AAGTAGAGTTAAAGTGATTGGTATGATTGATTCAGAACAAAGAGTATTATCTGGATATCATGCTATTTCTGATATTAAAAAAAGACCAACATTCTTCCCAAAATGGCTTAAAACACTTACCATATAGATAAATATGAACCCTAATCATGAAAAAATAAGTAACTGGTATGCAGAATGGAATTCTTTATTGCCTGCTATTATTGTAGAACATCTAACAATTAAAGGAAGATTACATTCGGCTTTGGATATTATGAGCCGAGCAGTCGAATGACCTTCTATGCTATTACTACCTCCGCCGCCTTCAATTCAAGTAGAGTCTCGATACATTATGTCCATGTTACAATATAGACAAACAAATAATTTAGTTACCGTTATTATGACTTAAGATTATACTTATTTAATATTATTCAATTTTAAGGTGGTTTAGCTGAAGCTGTGGATACTGCATCACAGATGTCTCATGGTTTCAAAGAGTTAGTGCAAAAGTTCTGTGAAGAATGAGGTATTTTATGGACACCAATTGCCAATCGTTTTAGAGAAGCTGAAAAAGTCTATCAATATGAACCAAGGCTTCAAGCATATATTGACCATGAAGATTTATTTGTCAGTCAAGATGGTAGAAATTTTACTCCTATGTCTGTTCAATCCATGTTAGAACTGTGTGAATAAAATGATTATAGTACTTATTTTTTTTTATAATATTTATAAGATACAATTTGATAAATTATATATCAAATTTTAATAAATAGGTACTGTATTAAAAAAAATATATATATATTAATTTAAATAATAATTAGAAACTATAGTTAGTGGTGTATCCATATATGTATTTACATTTTATTGGTTTGTATGTAACTTTTAAAGTGGACGATTATTTAGAGCAAATGGTCAAGCGTTCCAAAAGAGCTCACTAAGAAAGCTTTAAAGGTTTAACGTGAAAAACGTTCAAGTTTCCACTCAATTACAAACAATCTATCTATTTCCATAATAATGACAACAATTAATCTAAACGAAATCAAACTTGTTTATTGGAATACCAGTATCATAAAATATAAAAACAATAGTAGAATTTTTATCACGCCATAAAATAGATATAGCCTGTATTACAGAGATCCACCTTAAAAATACCGATTCATTCAAAATCAATGGTTTTAATATACAGTGGCGTGGCGATATGGGTAATCGATAAGCGGCCGCCTCACAGTTTTTTGAGGGGTGAGTGGGCAAGGCCGTATCTAAAAAAATTTTTCGGGAGGGGTCCAAAACATGTAAATTGTAATTTTATTGAATTAAGATTTTAACTTTTGATATTTGGTTAAAAATAAGACAGAAAAAGATTTAATCTTCTTTTATTAAAATTAATATCATATTTTCATATGATATTATGATATAAAATTTAAAGCAGTCAATGATTAATTGGAGATTAAATCATTTGTGACTGAAAATATTTATGTTGGTATTGAAATAAATATTTTAAACATTCGTAAAATATTGAAGAATTTTAGAAAGGGAGGTTCAGACACCCTGAACCCCCTCAGATACGGTCATGTGGGTGGGTGCCGACAAAATGTATTTGCCTCTGAAAATTGTTAAGTTCGCCATGCCACTGTTAATATATATAGAACTAACAGAAACTCTACCCACTCCTCTGGTGGAGTAGCAATATTAATTAAGAAAATTATCAAACATCATCAATCAACCTTTCCCAAGATGATCAACATTGAGGTAACTACTATAATAATATCAACAGAAAATTATGAAATAAAAATAATTTCTGCATATAATCCACCAAATAAAAAAATTTAAACGGCGAAATATCCAATTATTCCATGACACGATAAATGATTATGATAACTAAACAATAAATAAATTAGACGAAACTCTGATAACAGTTGCATTATCAGAAAAAATAAAACTTTAAAATAATATTTTCTGATTTTGGTCCACTTGACTATTATAGATATTACTAGATAGCTATCTTATATTATTTTAATTCAATTTTGTAGTTTATATTAACTAGGTACTATAACCGAAAAATATAAAACATTATTTAGTATAGTATTACAGTACTATACTACTATAGATCGTTTTGTTGTTAGAAAAATAACAGGATGATGAAAATATAGAGAAATGTACTAGAATTCAAAACATAAGTAATAATTATTTATTTTTATAATATATATTATACACTTTATATATAACTCTAACATATTATTATAATATATTTAGCTTCAGATAATTGCAAGGCAATTTTTAATTGTTGTTTAGCTCTTATAAAGTTATCTAAATAATAATAAAAATGATAATTTATTATTTGTATAATACATATTAATATAATTTTTAATTCCAGAAGAACCACAATTTTTTTTGTAGAAAGCGTATTATATGTAGACTTATATGGAATGGTATTAAAGACCAATTTGTCATACTACTTAAAGTTAATATTTTCTGGGTAAAATTATGTTTTCTGATTGGACAATATCCAATTGCATGGGAACTAGTTGAACTTCATCAATAAATTCAACAACCATGTAATTCCTAGAAATTATTATAATTAAATTTAATGGTGTTTGCAATAACATTTTTTCTAAAAACAATAGGTTAAATAATAGTTAATAAATAAATAATATTAATTTGGTAGTATGATTTCTAATCTTATAAATTTAAACTTTTGTTATTGAATTAAAAAGATACGTCATTCATAAAAATTATATCTATTTTTATAATATTCCATGGGGGGGGCTGTGAGAATATGATCGCCCCCTCTTATATATGTCACTGCAGCGTGTAATTAATCAAATTTATATCATTAAAATGTATTAAATTACAAGTCTAAAAGAAATTTACTCTTTATATAGGTACCTGACGATTATTATCAATAATTGGTATAATTGATGATTCAGTTAACGTTTCTTTCAGTTGTATTAACAACTACCTGTTAGGGACTTATCAGATGTGCTAATGCTTCACTTTCCCCTTTTCAAGACAAAAGCTTTCTCTAGGTCTAATCTATTCTTGTACCAAAATATAAATTAATTCAATAAATGCGTTATCAAGTTATAACCTGAAATAGGAAAATAGGGATTCATTTTTATTTATATTACTCTTTATATCTATATCGATGATTCTCATCAAATGGCATACAAAGAAAATAGTTTAGAAAAATATTAACTAGATATCAATTGAAATATTGATATATAAATATAGGTATCAATTTAAATTATTTACCTGCAAATAAAATTTACTTAAAACATTCTTTGAAAAAGAATATTTTTATAGTTGTACATGAAAATGTATAAAACTTAAACACGCCATTTCTAATAAAAAGGTTTAAATCAGCTTATTTTATGAATTAAATAAACTATAATATATATAAGAACCCTATACAAGTATATATATATAAAAAATATTTAATTTTAAATATTTTTTTAATTACAAAATAATTTATAAGTAGGCTTAGGGACTTATAGCTTTAAAAAATACACAAATATGCTTCTAAAATCATTAAAATATGCATTTATATACATTAAAAAAAAATAATAACCACGTAGTACACAAAATAAAACATGTCCATAGGTGTAGTAGTCAGCTACTCGTAGACTGTTGTATTTTCGGCATTACACAATGCTACAAAATATATCCGTACGACGTTTTACGTATGATTCGACGTTGCGTGATTGAGAGACGCAAAAACAACGATGGATAATAATCGACTGAACTAAATAAATAATCAATAATAGATAATAGAATAATAATTATTGTATATCGACTATTATCTTTATCGACATTCGGTCGATATCTAGCGGGTTAAGCCACGTCCAGGCTAAACGACCAAGGGTACCGAAAGCGCATGTGACGACCTTATTCGGTGATGTTGGTCTAGGTGTAGACAGCGCGATCGAATGAACGACAACGGCGAATGTGCCTTCGGTAGCCTTCACTCGGGGAGGGGTACATCAAAGGAATTCGTTATCAGTTTAGACACGATTTGTTGATATTTTGGTCTTCGTCAACATTTGGTCCGATCGGATATAAAAAATAAATTGTGTGCGTTCGCAGTTTAAACCAGCGAAGGCTTCCAAACGCGGACTAACGACGAATTCGGAATGAGTTTAGACGGTATGCCAATGTTCTCACATCTAAACACAGCCAACGCCGAATGTGGAGACATTGGCGTTCGGTTGCCTTGGTCGTGTAGTCTGGACGCAGCTTTATTCGATCGATACGAGTTTAAAGTATTATAACGAGATATGAGAGGTAGTTTCCAGATAGCATATTACTAGAAGTATTAAGTCCTCTTAGTACATTTTTTTTCGATCGTTTGAAATATGCATACATACATAGTTACATGTATCTATAATTTTTAATTTGAAATTTGAAAAAATTGTCAAAATATGTTAAATAAGCATAACATTTTTAATATATGCACTCTTCTACAAAATCTATCAAATATGTAAAAATATGCACATTCAAATTTTAGATCCGATATCATGACATCGAAAAACAAATTTATTTCGCACTCTGCTACATTTAACAATAATTAAAAAAAGTATGCAAATGCTAGAAGTCTCTAAGCCTATTTATAAGTAACAATAAAATATATAAATAATGTTTAATTAAATATTTGATATTTATTTACATCAATAAAAAAAAAAAATTGTAATATTATGAAATTTTATTTTTATTTAATGAAAATTTAGTAGTTGAATATAAGTAAAAAATTGTACACACAGATTACAAATAATTTTACCATTATAGTTCATATCATAGAAATAGTATATTAAAATGCTATGTAAATTAAATTAATATACATATATATATTTAATTAATGTAATTTCATAATTAATGTTTTTAAATGTAATGAAATATTATATTTTAATTTTAGTTTAATCATACTTAAATATATATTTTTACACTATAAAAAAACAGTAAAAGGAAAATCTAAGTATCTAAAATATTATTAAACATGTTTCAATTTAAATTCAATAACAATATCTGGACTTGATGGGTAACTATTTTGAATTTTTATAATCATCATAATTATAAGTTTTTACTGGAAGATCAAATTTAATTAATCCCCAGTCTTTGGCTTTTTGAACAGCAATTATTAATTTTTCATGCTGTTTTTGACAAAGTCCAGTTAATCTGTAATAAAAAAAATAAATAAATAATACATAATATATAAGCTTAATAAATATAATATAATATAATATATAATATATAATATATATAATAAATATAATATATTAATAAATATATAAGTTTTACACAACAATTGTGTAAAACTAAAAAACTAAACAATAGCTATTATAAGTTAACTTATAAAAATTCATTATTTTTCATGGCAATATTAAAAATTTATCAATATAGATAATTTTATTTTATGATTATGTACTTCAAACTTGAATTATTTTTGGAGAACATATCTAAATTTGTGTATTAGTTTTGAAAAACATTGAATAAAATATTCAAGAGCTTACCAACAAATTTTTTATTAATTTTTAGTTACTTTACTTACGAATAAGATAACAATTTCCCAGAATAAGGCGATATGAATTGTTTAAGCAGATCCACATTTCTGTAGTCGAGTACCAAATATTCGTCACGACAAATTGGACATGGATTACCAGTAGCAATCATATTAGCTCTCTATATAAAAATACACCAGATAACAAACAAATTGTCTATAAGGTTTGGTATAACTCACAATACACATTTTCCTAGTCTTCTTTGGAGGGATACTTCCTTTATGATTTCGTCGATATTCTTTCCATACTTCATTATCTCCATATGTAATTTTATATGCTATCAAGAATTCAAATTACACAATACATCATTAATTTTATACTAGTAATATATACTCAAATTCGCTTATTATATATTTAAATCTCCTTACTGTTTATTTTTTATTAATAAAATAACACAATAGAGTAAAGAATAAAAATTTTATAAAACAGCAATATAAGAAAATTGAATAAAGTATGCTAAATACCCTTTATGTATGCTAATAAAGACTACACTATAGAAAATGTAGAAATCTACTTGAACAGGGTTTTTATAAAAATCACAAAAAAATATAAACCATATACAAGTGAATCATTTAATGAAAAAAACGATGATACATTTTTAATATGTCTTTGCTTACCTTCACTTTTTAGATATTTAATACTGGTTTCAACAGGAATTATAGTTGATCTATCTTTTGGTGAAACTTGTTTTTCATCTTTGTTGATCAAAGATTCATTATATTTCACCAAGCTTGTACATATATTTCTTCCATTTTTCTGAAAAGAATAAATTGAATTGATTATTGATGAAATAACACATGTAAAAACAATAACTTTACAATATTATGTTGCGAGCTGGTCAATGTGTACAGATTAGTGCAACGAAAGTAGAGCACAAACAATTGATATATTTATATATCGATATATTTATTTTATAGGTGTAAAATAACGAACTCTTGACTTTAAAATAATAACTATATTGTAAATAATCCTAAGTCCAAACATTTAATTTGATTATCAATAAAATCAATGAAATCTGTTCAAAACTACCTTAATTTATACCTTATACTCCATTCTTGTATGATACTGTAATCCTTCCAAGAAATTAATACTCTTAACCCACACATGGTCTGAGTTATGTTTAAGTAATATTTCATATCTAACATATATTATACATTTACATTTAATACCCAGTTCACAAAAATGCGTTTCTAAACTGATTACTCATTGTATTCTTAAGTGGTTGGCATCGTGACTTCTGTGAATCACATAACTAACCTTTCACATGCCATCATCGTGTGATTTGCATTTATGTATTATTATTTGTTCCATAATCTTTTAGAAATTACAACCATACTACTGGAGCCTATATATAATGCTTGTAATAAGAATTATTCTAATACTTCGTGTGATCCCCTCGTGTAGTGACATTCGTAAAAGCTCTCATTTATGAATGTCCGTAATAATCAGTACAATTTAAATAACATTTATTGTTGACTTACGAATGCAAAGTTGTTTCCAGTCGAAATGCTGTTAGGCGCTTTGTATAATATACAGGACAACGTACGAATGGAATTTAAAAACATGTTTATTGAGCGCTGAATGTAATCGACAAAATTGAAAAAATATTATAATTGTAATTAAAATGTTAAAAAAAAATGTGTTTTTCTTGTTATCACTTAACCCGGTCTGCACAGATAAGGTTGAGCATTCGTTCCGATTCTGTGATTAAGTGGAGGATCTTGTTTCGGACGATAAACGCTCCAAACGCAAGTACAGCCAAAACATAAACGTTTAAAAAATTCCTAAAACCCTTCAGAAATCCCTCAAATTCTTAAATCCTAAGCTGGGCAATGACGAGTTACTAAATTTAATGACTTTTGACTAAATTACATAACAAGTCACTTTTCTTCAAAATAACCTCTACTTCAATGAGTTAAATGTATTTTTTTAGTCCCGTTAAACATTATTTACATAGATATCTAGGTACCTACATCATACATTGTATAATAAAGATTTATTTTCTTTGAGTAAAACCCATAGGTTTTAAATAGAACTTTATGCAAGAAAAATAATAATAATAATTTTCTGAAACATCAAGTATTGTTTATACTGCCATACTACAACAGTTGATATGAGTTCACACGTCTGTAGTATTCGCGTTAAGGTCCGGGACACACGTAACTTCACAATGAACGATCCGTGTGTCGCCCGAATGTTGACTGAGGAACGGCTCGGCCGTCTTCTGTAGATTGTCCGCAGTGGCGTCGCGAACCATTTTCTATGTCCGTTATTAAATGTAATGTAAAAACGAGGGGAAAGATGACTAGAAAAAATGACGACTGTCGTCTACCGAGACGCCGAGCCCGCACCGTAAATTCTTAAATAGTTAATTTGATGTATAGAACATTTAATTTTGGATTTAATTTCATCCGATTGTGTATGTGACATACAGTATGTCTGTATATTTCTAATAAAATCCTATTAGTAGGTACCTATTTGATAACATTTTATCCTTAAAATCATTAATCATCTTTCATTATGAAGCGATTTTTTTAACGTTTGATTTCAAATCATGAATATATTGCTTTTCTTCATCTAAAATTACATCCAACCCTTCTTGACAATTATTGTTTTGTACTTCCAATAAATCCGTAAAAGTTTTTATAATGTCACATTTTACAGTATCTGTCCATCGCTTACTATTCATCGATTTCACTCGTTCGTACTCCAAGGTAATAATTTAATTTAAGGTGATTGAAAATTTAAAAACTTGTATTTTACAAAAAATTCTTAAAAATAATTTGTTTTTGTTGTTATAAAGATTATGTTGTCATGAAATGTTAGATTACCTTTAAATATGATAATTTCGTGAGACGAATACAATTATAAATGAGATTAAAATATTTTTAGTACGAATTTCAAATAATGTGATTAACGATAGTTGAAATAAAAATATACAAGTTGGCAGTTGGTACCTTATTTATATACGCACATGGGAGGAGTATATTTTGAACTTTATGTAGGTTGGAAACGATGGAAACACATAAATATTTATACCGTAATATTACTTTAAATCGTACTTAAAATACTACAAAAGTGGTTCATATATATGTAAACAAACTAAGATTTAAAATTTTGCAGTCTGATATTTAAGTTGCATACAATAAAATATGATGGCCTAGGTTTTGTCTGTTTTGTTTTCAAATGTCACTCTTTATTTCTGATTAATATTTCAATGTTTGTTATAATTATTTATGTTTAAAATGCATTTTACAACTTTACATTACACGTATTTTAATACATGCTTTATCAATTTCTACGACGAACGCGATAAAGATCGTTATTTATTACGGAATATCTTTTAGACTACGTCACGGATTAATATACAATAATAATATATAATATTAATCCGTGAACTACGTACACCATACCATAGTGTTGTATGCCAGATCGGGTAAACTCGGTAGAGTCCGTCGGCACTACAGTAACGTTTTTTAAGTTCGTACTTTAGAAAAAAAAACACTAAATATACAAATGTATATTAATCTATTCCTACATGGCTACTCGATTTCAGTGTATAATAGCGTTTTTCATGGTTATTTATTATTGTATACTACTGCGAAATATTGCCTTTATTAATTGTTGTTGATCTAATTTTTATATTCGTGGGTTGAACAGAAATATTAAATTTATAAAAAGTAAAAAAAATAATTTATATATTTTCAGAAAAAATGAAAAAATTGAAAGGTAGTCGCGATGTGCTTCACATCATTATTAATAATTAAATAAAATAAATACATTTTTAAATAAATAAATAAAAACTATATTGTATAAAATTTAAATTGTACTGTTAAATATTTATGTACCCATCCGAAAAAAATATTTTTGGATCCACACCTGGTGTCGAAGCGTGAGCCGCTCGTTTGTCATACGGAGTCGTCGGCAGCAGTGGAAAAAAACTTCTCGTCGGTGACGTAATGACGCGTCCGCGTCGGTTCGGTCCCACGACAACAGTTCCACGACAACGGTCCCGCGCGAACCGATTAATTTTCGGGCGGCGCGCGTCCCACGATCGTGATAACGGACTCGCCCCTGCTGGTCTACGAATTAAAATTCATTATCTCTACGATAGCCGCGCAACGTTCGTGCGAAACAGCCCCAACGGCATATTATTCGCGACGCGGTTATTCTTTCCCCATCGTCAGGTGGCTCAGGTTTTATTCCCGTACACACCACGTTTCCGGCGAGATGAACTACGGCAGCAAGACGACGTTTATGGGCTTCGACACGGACAAACGTAGATTGCCACTGTTTAAGAGGATCGTGTTGTACGCCTATGACAAGGACAATGGCGAAATATTCGGACGTACGCCGTCCAGTTGGGGTGAGTGACGTCTTGTGACTTAAAACGGTTTACTACTACAGCGGACGCTCGTCGCCTCGTTCGTCATACGACGTTTGGGCGTGTCCCGTCGCTACGACGTGTTTATTATTTTCCGATCGAATGGGATCTGCAATACCGAGAGCACTCGTTTTTCTTGGTCAAAAAATCTATTTCTTTTTTAATCTGATTTGATTCGGACGTAATAAATTACCCTTGTTTACACCCTAGTAGTTTGTCATATTGGAAATGAAACGGTCAATTATGTCAATATATCACATTGCAGATCATTTATCAGTTAAAATGTTGTCTATACAAGAATTAAGTATTATTTATAATATAAATATGTATATATAAACATAAATTTCTATTATATTCCTTAAATATTTATGAGTTGACTATAATATTGGAGAATATCAAACTCGATTCAGTTACTATATCATTAACTTAACGTTAAATGTGTTAGTTCATAGATTATTAGTCTTGCTATTTTTAAAACATTACCTGACATCCTACTTTATTAGTATAAGGAAATTTAATAATTATTACTTTAATTAATATTGAATTGGGAAACAATACACAATAATATATTATTATTATTATTATTTTTTATCTTAGCTCAAGTTGGAATATTTTATACGGGATTATATTTGTCACTTATTGCTATGTTTGGAGTAGTTTTGTGGGTTTTCTTCCAAACTCTTGATCCACGTACTCCAACTAGACAACTTGAGCATTCACTAATTGGAACAAATCCAGGTACTTACTTATATTATAATAGACTTTTTATTTTTAAATTAAAAATGAAAAGACTTACTTATATTTTATTTGTTATGCTTTCCTAAGGTTTAGGATTCAGACCTATGTCTAATGAAACTCATAGTACTCTAATCCATATCAATAGTAAATCTGTTGAAGACTATTCAGTATGGATGGATAGACTTGTCCAATTTTTAGATGGTAGTATATTTATATTTTTAAATTTATTATCGATAATGTGTTAATTATTTTTCTTTATCATTTAATGGTCCAGTGTACAAAAAACCCGGTTTGACTCCAGGAAGAGGACAAAATATTGCTACATGTAACTATAATCAACCTCCTGGCAAAGGAAAAGTTTGTGATGTTGATGTAAAAGCATTTGATACTTGTACTGAAGAACAGCGTTTCAACTTTCATCGACAAGGACCTTGTATTTTTCTTAAATTAAATAAAGTAAGAAGTTCAAAAATTATAAAATAATATTTAGGTATCCTAATATTTGTCTCATGAAATTATTATTTTAATGATCTTTGCAAATGGTCATAAAAATTTATTTCTAAATTTAAAATGTACTACCAGTTTATAATTATAAATAGGATTCGGATCTTATAGGATTATTATAGGATACAGATGAAAATAGTTAAGTGGGATATATATTTGTTTTATGCACCAAGATCACCAAAAATTAAATCTAAATGCTATTTTAGATTTTTAATACTATTTTCTAAGTTTCGATGCTATTTTTTGTTAATTTACATAATAATATAATGCTTTATTTTGTATTTTTCATACATTTTGTTTATATCAAAAGAAAAATAGTATTATATAAATAGTAAGTTCTTTAAATTGTTAACAGAAGGCAATTTAATGTTTTTATTTAATAGTGTATTAACTCATAAGATTACATAATAAATATTAATTCAAAAAAATAAGATAAACTTTCAGTAAAAGATAAACTAAATTTCATTTTGATTTAAATTATTTTTGCATATTGATGTTTTTTGGACATATTTTAAAGTTTTTTTTGTTGTACTATAATGAATAAATATCAGTACTTTTCAATGCTGTAAAATCTGAATTCTGATTATAACTATGATAAAAATTATATATATTGTATTAAATAATATAATCTGTACTATAAAAATGTAAGTATGTCCAACGTCTACAGTTTTTATCGATACATATTTAAAATAATTTTAAAAAATTGGTGTTATATCCAAATTTACACTTTGATTTCTTGTTATCACCTCAGAGTAAGTTTTAATTGTTTTATATTCTTAATTTTTTTCTAAGGCATATTTTAATTTATATTTAACTATTTTCCTATTAAAACCGGGAATATTTATCGAAATATTTTCAATTTCACTAAATATTTTTACACTATTAAGTAATTGATTATTTGATTCATCTAAACTTGTGAGTTTTGTGGATAACTCAGATAAATATAATTTTAAAAATGCTAAAATACATTTAAAAATTTACATCATAGTTATAGTTTTATTTTAAAATTATTTTAGAAATAATAATTTGTATATTTTATCAAGCGAAGTATACAAAATTGCAATAATTGCAAAAATTGCTTATTAAATTAAATAGGAAGACTGTAATTAATCCGATTCGTATACATATTTGATCAGACTTGATTTACCAGGTATCAATAAAAAGTTGTAATATCAATTACATCCGGTCTTTATTTATAACCATAAAATGACTAGCTTTAGAGTGTTCTTACAAGATTTTTTACAAGACGATGGAAACAACTCAATTATCTGGGAGGATTAAATTTTATAACAATGGTTGTTACATTCACATATAATCTGACTTTGTTAGAAAAAAAATCATATTATATTATTAATTTATATATATAATAAATTTTGAAAATATATAGTTAATATTTATTAAATTCAAAAAAAAAATTGAAGTAGTTTTTAATTATGTTAATATATTCTCTGTAAACTTTTCTACTACTTGATCATTATTTTCAAACTTAAAATGGTTTTAAAAATGATTACTTTAGAGTGTGCCTGCAATATTTAAAAATTTTTCTTTTTACTATTACAATAATTTTTTTAATTATTAAAATGGTGAAGTTTATAACTATAGTGAAACAAAAATATATTTTGATTTTCTAAAATTCTAATACCAATTATAAACTATATTTTTAAAAAATAAAAATAAATATGTATTTATAGATTTGCAAATTCAGCGTTAATACATTAAAATATTATTAAACATAATTATTAATTTATAGAAGTATCATATTACAATCGGTAATTAGTTGTCAATTGGCTGGTATTTTGCACACAAATTCAACGCAAGATAATGTTTTGTACTGTTAATAGTAAAAGATTATAAAAACACTTTATTGTTGTATTATTCACAGTAATGAGTCACAACAAATTAGTAATGATAATGGGATACATTCATCCTTAATTCATTTTTTTAAAGTAACATTGTTAAGTGTTCAAATCACTTTTATATAAGTACTATGTTCATATATATATATATATTTGTATAACATGCTTTTTTCTAGAGATACTTATAAATTAAATTAATGTATAAAAATATTATTTTATAAATGCCATTTAATAATAGGTTCTGTTTTTTGCTGATTGATATAAATAATTAATTAAATCTAGATGTTAATATTATTAGAACCTCTGATATTCTAGTTTTTTTATTTTAAATTTGATTTCTCTTTTATATAATAACAACCAATTTTTGTTCTTTTAGATTTATGGTTGGAACCCAATATTTTATGATGATCCTAATGATCTTCCCCATGATATGCCAAAAGATTTAAAAGAACGAATTAAACAAATAACTAATCCAGAAGAGGTTAGTAATTCATGTTATGTGTAGATTTTATTTTTTATGTAAATAATATCTGACAAACAAACATTTTTTAATATCAATTTCAAAAATTTCAAAATGTATGTTTATTGTTTTAAACTAGTCATAATTTTTTTTTTAGTTAAGAACTGTTTGGGTGTCATGTGAAGGTGAAACTGTTTCTGACAAAGAGCTAATTGGTCCGATGTCCTACTGGCCCATTCCAGGATTTCCAGGTTATTTTTTCCCATTTGAAAATTCAGAGGGCTATCTAAGTCCTTTGGTTGCAATACATTTTGAAAGGCCAGCAAGTGAGTCGTTTACTGTTTTGTTTAGTTTTATTGTTTAACTATACATTATTACTTAATAAACTGTTTTTTTGTCTATTTAAATTAAGAGAGCATTGTTATCAACGTATTGTGCAAAGCATGGGCGAAAAATATTATTCATAAAAAGAATGGTATTAACAGAGGATCTGTACATTTTGAATTGATGATGGATTGATAAAATATTTTCAAAAAACATTACACAAAGGTATAAAAAGTATTTTAAATAAATTTTTATACTAACCAAGTATTATTTATATTATGCATTATTTTTACTTTCACATATCAAACTTTGCAACAGCTATTTTACTTTATATAAACTCCTAAGTTATAAGTATATGTATTTAAATATTATTTGAAGTAGTTCTTTTAAGAAACTGAGTAGTAATTTAATTCGTCCAATTAGTATTAAGATCTCTGTTTGTATTAATTATTATTTTTCTTGATTATAAAAAAGAATAATAAAACAGATTATAATTGTTATGAATGAAAAAAAAAACGTCAAGACTGATTCTTTGACAATATAATTCATATATTATATATCATTCATATATACATTTGTATACATATCATCAGTAACTTGGCTGTTAAATTGTATAACAATGTAGAAGTTATTTTTATTTAAAGATGATCAATTTATTTAAACTATTTGTATATGATTGAAAAAAAAAATACTATTTGTGTTCAATGTGTTCTTTAGTTAGACAATTTATATTGTTGAACACAAGATCTGTCCATTAGAATTTATATATTTGACATTTGTATAGTACATATTCTATTATTGTCATACTAAACGCATATGAGATATATATGTTTAAGTGAATAATTGACGTTTATATTTTTGATAAAATTATATAAGTTAAACATGGTAGATGCCTATTGCAATTACCAATTTTATATTTTAGTATTTATCTTTATTATGATTATTAATTATTTTTTCGCAACAGAAACAGAAATTCTTTTTGTGTATGTATCAAAACAGTATTAAGTAATTATTTAAATTCCATTAAATGATTAAAGAAGTATAATATATATATACATAATTAGTTCATAATTATTTTTGAATACCAATGTTTTTCTATGTAAACCATTATTATTGTGTATTGTTAATAATAAAATACATCTATTTTTAATTAATTTATTATGTTCTTTTCAAATTAACCCCAAATATGAATTAATGTTAAATTTAAATAAACATTTTATTGAACAATTTAATTGTATCTTGTCAATGCTGTAGTAAATATTCAGCACACAAATAAAACAAAAATTATTTTTTTCCAATAAGAAATGGCCTAAATTGTTTTTAAATGCACATACATTTCTGCGTTTTAATTCTATGGTTTTTCTGGACAAATTGTACTGTTGAATTATTTGATTTGATCTATGGTTCGTAATAATTTGAACAACATATCAATTTATTTATGTAGATAAATATGTAATAGTAAAATTAATTTTATTCCTTGATAGAAACTTATAGAATTTGTAATTGAGAAAATATACAACACCGCACAGACTATTGTTAATATTTATGGATGTTACTAGTTTAAAATCGATTATCGGTTTTAAACAAATGATTATGTTATTGTACAATAGTTTTTAAAAACAACATTCATTCATAAATATTGATTTACCTATTTATTTTTACTCCAAGCTGGAATCATTTAAGTTCTTGTGAATTACATGTACACTGTTATTTTACCACTGTAAAAATTATTTTAATAGTTATTACTTGGGAATGGATTTATATGTAAAAGCATATTTTTATTAAAACAAGATATTTAAGATTCAATAAGAAATATTCATGATTTAAATCATTCCTATTATAATTATGCTTCTTTTATTTTACATATTTTGGTATAATTACATATTTTTACGTATTTTACTAATTTGTAAATATTTTTAAGTATATTTTATCATTTTATCATTCATACGTTTTCAAGCCATTTTGCGGTGGACAAAAACATCTATTTTTCGGTGTATTGTCGATTTAATTATTATTTTTAAACATTAAATATAAATTCATCTATTATTATTAGCCAATAGATATTATGAATTAAATAATTATTAACTGACGCTCATCGTGGAGCAAATATTTATTAGTTAAAGTTACCTTTAGTTTTATAGCCCTAATCTTATTATCTTTTTATAGATATAATAGATATTTTAATAAAGTATACATTTATATACAATTAACAATTAATGATAAGCGATAGCAATATATTTTTATAGTAAATAATTGGCCGTAATCGTATGTACTTACACAAATTTCAAAAATGTCAAATATTAGTTAAAGTATTTTGTCCAAAGTTTCTCGGTAGTTATTGAATTTCCAAACGAGACGTTAAAGAGCGCTGTTCAAGTTTTACTGTGTGTTACGTGAAAAATTAATGACATAATGAGTGGCAGACACCCTTCTAAAAATTTAGAGTTATCGCCTTCTGATATTATGCGCTTCAAATATACTCCAATTACATCGGTTGATGTGAAACGATCATTTAACCGTTTTAAAAATATTTTGAGACCTAATAGGTGACATTTAACATGCGAATATTTAAAAGAAATTGTAATAATTCAATGAAACAAATAATTTTGATAATTTAATAATTGTATATTTTTTTTTAATTAAATTTTTTTCCCCACTTATTTGGATATTTTTAGTACATATTTTATAAATTATACTTCCATATTACATATTTCTGTATTTGTATTACATATAAATCCGTTCCCTAATTATTAAAAATTGTTTTATCATTCGTTACACATATCAACATTTATGTAAGTAAGTAACTGAAAACTGAGAATATTGTGGTAACAATTGTATATTTTGTGCTAATCAAATTTTAAGTACCTATTGATAAAATCTATTTCATCATATTATTATTTATTATTAATAATTAAATAGCAATTGAGAAGAGAAATAAACAGGAATTTATCTATTCTAAAATGTAATACTTAAAAATATTTTACTTTAACATACATTAAATATTTCTTTTAATTTAATTTTTATAAAATATCTTACAATAATTATCTGGTAGTATAAATGCAAAACAAAAACTTAAATATTTATGCATAAAGCGTACAATTATAATTGTATAACTTAATGTATGTAAGTTATTAATAATTACAAGTTTCTAACACCAATAATATCAATTTAAATCAAAATCAATATATTACTGCAATATTAGGATAACATAAACATGAATCGAAATCGAATCATTATAAATGGGTGCAAATAATCATCAATATTTAAAAATGGCGCAAACCTTTTACTTAATAGCAATGATATAAATTTCACATTGTTATAATCATCTTAACAACACAATATCTAGTAATAAAATTTATTTATGACCATTGAAACATTTTTGATATTTAAGTTAATAAAGCTAATAAAGTAACACTCCTCAGTTAAAGGTTTCTGTCGAAAAATAAACAATGAGCAGAAAATGTATTATTGAATAACCAAAAAAAAAAAAATCTCTTGATATAATTAATATATATTTTTATGAAGCTACTTATTCGAATAACTATAAGCTAATGAATACATTTATTTTAACAAATTAACATAGTAATGAATAACAAATTAAGAAAGTAGTTAAAAAAAAAAAAATGGTACCGATCAAATCTTCTATGAAAATTACGGACTTGTTGACTCATCTGCATCGCTGTCTATAATATTCACTTGAAGTGGTTTTAGTTCGTTTTCATCATTTTGATCAATTATCATAGGATGAATGCTTTCATCACTAGTACTTTCCAGTAGACCACCACCATTAGCATTACTGATATTATTTAATTGCATTTCAGCTATTATCTAAAATAATAATTACATTAAATAACTAGCCACAACTATACTATCTTTAATCGTGGTAATAATGTTGAAATGTAATATTAATTTATTAATCAATTTAATAACTTGAGTTATTAACAACTGAATGTCTCATCATAATTAAATGTACTACATTATAGTTATAGCTATTTTTGTCAATAAAATGAACCTAACCTACCTAGTATACCCATATTAGATTAATGGAATTTGTATTTAACATTATCCGTTCAATTAATATATTTTTTTTTACCTGAGTATGCATGTTTCGGAAGTTTGAAAGTTGTTCTTTCAACGATTTGTTTTCCATATGTAATGTGTTGATTCTAACGTTACATTTGGAAATTTGATTTAAAAGCTAAAATCGAAAATAATTTAAGAGGTAACAGTTATCAAAAAAAAAAAAAAAATGTAGGTACACAACGTGTACTACACATAGTGTGAGTATTCAACTTGCATCATAAATACGAGTATTAGAGACTTGTTGGCATGATGTATTTTGGTTATCCAGAAGCTGTTTTTCAAGATCAACAATTTTGTCTTGAAGTAATCCGTTGTAGATTTTTAATGTGTCTGACGAACATGCATCTAAAACTTAACACAATCATTTGTGATAAATTTAAAATTTGTATTTAAGTCTTGTGCTAATATTTACTTACCGGTACATGGCTGTGGTACACATTGAGGTCTGTTATTAATCGAGTCTTTCAATCGTATATTTTCCTTAAAATTAATCAAATTAAATAGTCATACTTAAGTTCCGTAAACATTTTCATTATAAATACCTTTTTCACATCATCTAATTCAGTGCTTAGCAAATTAATTTTATCTGTAATGTAGGATTAAAATTAATACAGTTATCAATTATAAACAGGTAATAATGAGTGTGAAGAAATGGTTACATCGAAGTATTATTTTAGAAATGATATGATTGGGCCGTTCCGGTGAATGGAGGGTAGGGGCTACAGCTCGATAATTTAAATTTAGTCGGCAAATGAAAAAAATTTATGGATCTGAAATCTTTTGAATTAAAAACAACTCTATTAATTAAAATAATTGATAAATAATCGTGAACAATCTAAAAATGTGTAGATCATATTATATTAATTTTGTTTTGCTGTGAAATTGTTAACAATCTGATAATTTTAATTATTTGTGTATCCTTAAAATATAATTGGTTATTTAGCCATGATCAAATGACAAATAAGTAAGCATAATCAAAATATTATTTATGGAAATAAAAGTACAAATACCCGATACGAAAACATTAATATATATACTCAATCAAATACATCTAATACAGTTAAAAATGTACAGTATCTCGACGTTTAATAATTTACCGAATCTCAAAAAACGGCTCACCCTTGTATTTATCCAAAGTGTCAAGCATTGTCCGCTGTTTTTCGTTCACTCTCAACAATCTGTCATTGGACTCGTGCAGAAGTTTGTTAGAGTCTTCGAGCATTTTTATGTCTTTTTCCAATTTTTGCTGTTGCTTTTCGTTCTGCATTATTGCTTGGGTCATGTTGACGAATAGCTATCGACGAAAACAAACGTGGATTAATAATATTTAGGTAGAAAATGCGCGAACACGCGGTACGACTGAGCACTAGACAAGTGGTGTTGGAACGATACGATTATACCAATATTGAGTCATTCAATTACAATCGTTTCGCGTGAATTCGAATCGCACACGATTTTACATTTCGGTTTCCGTCGAAGAACGTACGTTCGAAAATCAGACGTTGTAGGATAGTACCCAATGTTCACGGTTGGATGTCATATACTTGTATTCAATCGCATCGCGCCGAACAACGCGGGTGTCAGCATCGTATTATTATCAACGGTTTAGTATAACGCAAATATCTTACCCCTTTTATCGTCTCGAAGTTTTCTTCCATCTCACGGGACTCGGCCGACATGGTGGTTGCGGATGAATGTCGCGGCGGCGGCGATGGCGGCGCCGTGCAGCAGCGTTTTTACGAGAACCGGGAACGGAAAGGAAAATTAGAAAAAGAAAAAAGAAAAAAACGATCTCCGTGCGGGAGCGCTGAGGTAGGTACGTGAAAACGACGACGTGACCAGGCGAATAACAAGTTGCGACACGCGGACGTCGAACCGCGCGCGAGGATAATATTACGAAAACCTTTCGAGCGCGCCCCTACTCAAACGGTTCTAAAACTCTGCGGTCGTCGTACGTTTTCCTCCGGGCGAAACCCGTTTTTTCGTTCCGCGGCGGGCACGCGCACTCGGAGCGTTGCACAACTACGACCGGCGGCGGCGGGTGTTCGACTAGCGGAAAACAATCGTCGACGACCGTGTGTGTCTCTCTGGTCACGGGCGACGGACCGTCGAGTTAGCGGCGGCGGCAAACGAAAGCCTAATAATAATGGTAATAACAACAATAACAACAACAACAACAACAAAAACAAGAGAGCGCGCTCCCGGGCTGGTGCGGTGTGAACACTCGCGTACACGCGCGACGAGCGCACTCCGGACCAATATTGTCCACCGATTACGTGCCGTCGTCGAAGCCGAGTTTACACCGGAGCGCGAGAACGGCTTTACCGCAGGCCTAACCGTCCACGAACCGTTGCTCCTGGTAAGCTTTCCACTTGTCCGCCGCGTTTTCGGCGCCCCACGACACTTCGAACGGACCACGGCGCTACCACGGTTACGCTAACCGCGGTTACAACACAAGCGTTTGCGCCAAAGTCCGGTTATAAGACACGTTGGTTTACGACCGGATTCATTTTCCGTACACGCGCGTTGTACACCGTAATACACCGAAAATCTATTCAGACACCGATAAGAATAAACTCGACGGTTTAATACATTTTCTTTTATTATATATAGACTATCAAAAAAAAAAAAAAGTATCAGGATCATCGCGAAAAAAAATTTAAACATATAAATAAATAAACATGTAGTTTACGAATAGAAATTAAATGAAATAAATAAAAGTTTAGCCTGGAGTATTATTACATTTGCATAGTAAGACTGGTTTCGAATTAAAAGTTCATCATCAGGTAAATACAGAGTTAATAAAATTGCGACCGAGTATGAAAAAAGGCTAAACTTTTATTTATTTATTTCTATATAAAAAAAATATTTGTTTATTTCTTTATATATTTTGTATTTGTCTGAGGCGTTAAAATGTGTTTCGATATAATACATATTACAAAATAAGTAAATTTTAAAAAGCCATTTATAACTATGTAAAAGTTTATTTTATTTTGTAACTTTGATCAGTATAAGAATTTCAGTTAACTATTCTACAAAAAGTATTAATATATAAATATTAATATATTTTACTGAAACTAGTGATTTTTTACTCGTTTCCTTTTACCTGCGCTGTCCTTATACATTACTAACAATCACCCGTTTGATATTGTGTATTCTATTAATATTAATTCTGAATATAATTAATTAAATTAATTAATTTTAGTACAACAAAGTAAACAAAAAAATATAACTAGGCCCATATTGTGACAGTAAATTAATTAATAAATATACGAGTATTTAAGTAATGATTAATATCAAACCACATTTGCTCAAACTGAGGACTATGTCCTTTCCTATTCACAATATGGTGATAATATGTTATTTTATGTATTATAATCACAAATTTATTTTATTCGTTTAAAATTCAACCTATTTCAATTTTTTTTTCTCTCCGAGTAACTTATAAATAACTCTACAAAATTGCTATTTAAGAATCAACTGCATCTAGTGAAAAGTCGTTTTCAAATTTGAAAAGAATAAAAACATACTTGCGATACATAATTTCACAAGTAATTCAATATTGGTTAATTTATTATTTTTTAATTATGAATTTTTAAGTTTTTTTTTTCTTTTATACAAGGGTGGTTAAATAGTTGAGCTATGCTAGAGCTTAGCTGTCCACAGAGAGTTTATAATTGATGTCAATGAAGTGATTGACGAACTTAGTTTAAAGAAGAGGCGCTTAGATCTTTTATTATAAATAAAAATAATAATAATATTGTAATTTATTGTAATACAGTCAATTCGCGGTATAACAAAGTTCGATATAACGTATAAAACTGCCGGACCCTTGAAAACCTCGTGCTATAACAAAAAATCAAATGTATTTTGGTCACCTCGATATAACGAAGATTTTTTAGCTTAAGTTCACGCAATGTAACGAATTTTTACAATTTTGGAGATTGATACTGCACATTTTACGAGTTTGTTTCGGCCATTCTTATGCGATAAAATGATGTTCATTTATCGTTTATATGATACATGTATATTGAATGTAAATTGTATTAAATATAAATTAAAATTTGTTGCTATCGACAAATATTTGATTATCTGTGGAGTTCTCAATGACGATGAGATTTTGAATAAAGCTGATGACGAAGATCCCCCCGTAAGCTCGAATGAAGCAAAATTAGATCTCCGCGTCATCTTAAGTTTTTTATAAAGACATGATATTTACGACAGAGTATTTTGTAATATTCTAAATTTGGACAACACTATTAATCGCGTAAGCGCATTAATACACACAAAAAAAAAACTTATTTTTACAAAAATAAATAAGAATGTATGTATTAAACAAAAAATGTATGAATGTATCTAATAAAATATTTAATAATAATCTAATATTGTATGTAGATATGTAATTATAATGATCTATTAAAATCTAAATTTTCTTTTAAATATCGTTTAAACAAATTTTGTTGATTTATGCTTTTGATATAATGAATTTCGATGTAACAAACTTTCGATATAACGAACTTTTTGCTCGGTCCCTTAAAATTCGTTATATCGCGAGTTGACTGTATTACAATAGATTTTAATATCTTAGTATCTGTACAATAGTATTAAAAATAATTTTTAGAATAAATCTTAGTGATTAGTATTAAGTAATAACCTCCAATGTGTCTATTATACCATGTATCTAAGTCTCAAATTACAAATTACTTGATAATTCTTAGTAATTTAAAAAAAGTTAGTTTGATGTTTTTTTACATCAGTATATAATTCTAAAATGTTCGTTTGTGAAGTTCATTAAATGTTGGACACCCCCCCACCCCGAAAAATACGCCACCGGCGATGGTAATAAGTTTACCCATTTGGCCGTTTAACCAGTGGCGTAGCTATCATAGGACGAAGCGGGGCAGTGCCCTGGGGCCCCGGAGCACAGGGGGCACTTTGAATATTTCTGAAACTATACTTCCCTAAAATAATTAACAATGTTGATGGTATTTAACTTTCCTAATTGTACGTGGTGGTTCCAGTAACAATTAGTATTGAAGCAGAATAATAATAAAACACACACTGTTTTTTTTTATAATAGGTACCTCCTAATAAACGGCATTTTCTTTTTACTCTGCACATCCGTTAATTATCTGGCAATTAATTTTATTTATCATTTCGTAATAAATAATTATTCACATTAAAAGAAAAAAAACAATATAACGTGTATACTTTCAATTTTCATGTAAGGATAATATCAGTTTTAGAGCCATACTGCATAAGGGGCCCTTCCCTGTATAGCTACGCCACTGCGTTTAGCGCGTCATGATATTTTATATTTTATTAGTATAAAGTTAAAGAAAATAAATGTGCTACGTGTAAATCAAAGAATTTATTTTCAAGAAGATTTTAATAGTTTTTACCAAGAAATAGTAGACGACAACGATAATTGTAACAATTATCCTTTACCTAAAAAGCTATAATTGTCATTATTATACATGGTTTTTTTTGGTGAAGATCATATATATATATAGAGATGGAACTAGGAATTTTTAAGCCCGGAGAAAATGTTAAAATTACACCCTATTATAGACCAATAATCAAATACTATCCTTGATCATTTTTTTCTAATAATTAATATACAATTAAACTTATTGAGTTTTAAACTAATATCAGTATTTAAACAAAGTTAAAAATATCAAATTAGTTGTTAATTATTACAAAAATTACTTTCACTAAAATTTTACGGCCGGGGATTTATCCCCGTCTTCCACCCCTAGTTCCGCCTCTGTATATATATACACTAAATATACACTATATATACACTGTATGTATATACCTGCACTAAATAATAGCTTCATTTGGGCAATACTCATTAGCATTCGTCGGAAAAAATAATATAGGTACGTAATTAATCATATTTATTTTAACTACACGTTTTTATTATTGAATGTTTTTATCTCAACTACCCAGGCGATGTGCGGAAAAATCCCCAAGTCCTCGTTGCATTCAACACAATAAATATTATACATAAAGTATTTTAAGATAAAGTTTATATTTATATCTAAATAAGTCTCAACACTATAATATGTATAATATATAAAATATATAATATAATATATATATATTTGGTGGTTTATCGTTTCATCAGCAAAAATTAGTTTTGTTTCCGTCTACGTTTTTTTTCCCCACCAAAGAGTTGATTTAAAAACTTTCGAAACGTTTTACCCATTTCCCCTATGGTATCGCAATTCATATCTGTCAAAGATCTGTGTGCCAACCCGATGGAATAATTAGTAATGTTCGATAGATTTTTGTTGTTTTCGTTTGTTATTAATTTGCGATCAAGCTTTTGGGTCCAATGATAAAATGCGCAACAACGATTCGGGCGCTGCAGCTTAGAAGACGGTTTGAATGGCGAATCGGACGCAGAAGGTAAAATTTTTCTATTCCGTGCAGACTCTTAAACCAAATAAAACAGAATCGTAGGTGTGTTACGGTCAGTGACGGTGCTAGAGTTTGCGAGGCCCTGGGCAAAATTAACGTTGGGTCTTATAATTTATATTAATAAAATATTTTAAGTTCAGTTAAATCAGAATCCCGGGGCCTTAATTATAATTTAAGGCGCAGGGCCCTGGGCAACTGTCCCTATTTTCCACCCCCTCACACCGTCCCTGGTTACGGTGGGTAATTGCCGACTGAAAATCTCCGATTTTCGAGGGTTCAATTCAAATACGTATATCGCGAATGCGCCATCGTCACTGACGGTAACTATCCGAACGATTTAGGAGGAGCGTAAAAGTGTCCGGTTACGGCCCTGAAAACAGCCGGACGCACTCGAATCCTCCGGTAAGTACGGTTTAGCAACTACGTACCACTTACAACCTACTGTAACTGCTTAGACGTAGACAAATCAAACGAAACGGATCCGTCGGGGTTACGAAATTGTGTTCCGCCGCAACTACTAGAGTCTGACATTTCGGTCGGTTCGCTCGCGCGCACTTGACGTTCCGCTTGTAGATCGGAATGCTGACGCGGTGTGAACTAGGCCTAGGCATTGGGTTGTAATTTTAACAACACGTCAACAGTGGTCGACGACCGAACGGTGACGGGGAAAGTGCGCGCAGTACACTTGGCATTGCACCCGGCGTAGATATGTACAGGTACTGACACGATTTTCTTTTGTTGTTAAATCGACTGCGAGGCCGAAAATCGTGTATGACGTCGGTGCACGACGAACGATTACAACGGAAAGTCGTCACTTGATAATTTTTCCTAATTCTGTTTTCCAGTTTTCTGTTTAACCTAACCACGTCATACGTATCTACCGTTTAGATTAATGTTACAGCGTACA